ATCAAATCTGCCCCCTCTTCCTGCCCATTCTGCCTCCCCGATGCCTCTCTCTATCCGGCTGTTTCCTTCTCCACCAGCACCCTTAGTTGCCTCTTCTCTTTCCAGGTAGTCTTTCACTGGGCTACCAGAATGTTGCTTCTGAAACAATAATCTGATTATGCCATTTGTTTCAAAACCATGAGGACTGCCCATTACTCCCAGGACATAGTTGAAACTCTTCTGCAAGACGTAGCAAACTCTGGCTACTTCTTTAACCGCATCGATCTCTATTCCTCTCAGCACAGACTCCAAATTTGCTGCTCCACCCAAGTTCCCCACATGCATCAGGTTTGCTCTATCCTGTGTTCCTTTGTACACATTGCTAATTTTTAAGGAACACTCTTAAAATTTTGCTTGGCGGATTCTTATTGAAGTGTCAATTCTTGGGACCAAAGGTTATTTCTCTCCCACAACTTTTCCTCCTCATCTGCTTCTGGGGTTGGCCTCCATCCTGGGTCACTTACAAACCCCTCACTTTCATCTCTGTTGTTTCACTTCCAGGTTGTATTGTAACTGCCTCTTCTCTTTTCTCTGCCTTGGATACATTATGTTTGTTGTTGTTGAGCTTCCAGGGATGAGCCCTTTATCTTTATATCCTCAGCTGCTGGCATTGTGTATTTGGTAGGTGATTCCTATGTGTCTGTGGAATGAAAGGAATAAACCAGTGAATTAATCAACTGCTTCATAGTTAAAAGATATGGACAAGAAGAAACAATAACTTACTTTAAATTAAAACTCTTTAATAAAAATATTAATGACAAAGCATAGGATAGGACACCCCTCCCCCCATTTCTGTATGAAATGCATAAAACACCGTGACCTTCTCTTTTCAGTAGGAAGGGTGCAGCTAAGGTGAGAACCAGGTGAAACAGTGTAAATATGCTCTGGTACACCAAGAACCTTTCTTGTTTCCTTCCTGAAACATCATGTGCTATTATGTATCACAGCCGTATAAACACATGGGTGCACAGTGTCCAGGTGATTGCCATTATTCCGGAGATCAGCTCTGGCCGCAGTGACGTTTAGCCACCGCAGCTTGCGTGGGAGCCAGGCCGTAACGCTGTGTGCTCTCCATCCTCACAGGTATTTGAACCAGACCCTGCGGGAAGACGCGTCAGCAGCAGAGCATTCCCTGAACAGGGAGAGGTTTGCTCTTTTGAAACAAGCCCTGAATGTAGTTGGCTTCAGTAACTTGGTAAGTTCTATCATCAATACTTCACGGAGAACCAAACTTGTACTAATTCATTAAAGTTAATCTTTCAAAAATGTTTACTGAGTCCCTGTTACGTTCCGGATGTGGTTGCGAACACTCATGAGTCAGCAGAGAAGAAGCCCCAGTCTCTGCCCCTTGGAGTTGACATTCTAGTGACGTAAACAAGGTGGCCAGGGCCATGGGTCCTGTGAGGACTAATAGAGAGTGACAGGAGGAGGAGCTGCCGCTGTGCAGAGGGTGGCCAAGGAGACCTTGTCCCAAGTGAACCATGTAAAGAACATTACAGTGACCAACTCAAGAGAAAACTGGAGGACCTGAAGGAACGGTTTACTGCTAAGATTCACTTTATTACCATATCTTCCTGGACAACGTAGAGGTTTTCTTTCCCCCTTTTTATTGAATTTATTGGGGTGGCACTGGTTAACAAAATTCTACAGGTCTCCGGGGCACAATTCCACCGCACATCTGTACACGGTGTTACGTGCTCACCACCCTACGCCAAGTCTCCATCCATCACCATTACACCCCCTTCCCCTCCTCTGCCTCCCCTCTGCCCACCTCCCCTCGGCAGTCGCCACACTCTTGTCTGTGTTTTTTATTCTTAAAGAATTACCAAAATACATGCAAGCTGAATTACCAAATTATGAAGCTGAAGAATACAATTTCAAGTGTATGCGTTTCTAGGATCATATAAATACTCTGGATCTGTGCTGTACAGTGTGGGAGCCACTGTCACCTGTGGGTACCGGGCCCTTGAGATGCGGCTAGTGAGAGGGAGGAAATGGATTTTTAAATTTTTCTTTGTTTCAGTTCATTTAAATTGAAGTGGTACCGTATGGTTAGTGGTTACTGAATGGTATAGCACAGGCCTGGTGAATAAGAGATGTGAAGTGATCTGAGCCCCCAGACTCCCCACAAACCTCTTTCCCTTACGCACGATCTGTTTCCCCTCACCCAATATGCTGATCTTTTGGAATTTGGCTAATTCGTCATTAGCAACTAAGGTAAGATTTCGTGGGGAACTTTGGTACACCAGCAGTCCAGGAACCCAGATTTAGTCATGGATTTACGTACGTTCATCTTCCTTTTCTTAAACCACTTACTTAATTGCTTTGGGCGTTTGTTTTTCTCTTGCCCACGTGGATAAGACTAAGGTGGCAGGGGCCGGAGGGGAGGAAAGGGAGGGCCAAGGAGAGGGCCTCGCCCCGAATGAATGGGCTCCGGCACTCGGCCTATGCCTCGCTCGCCCCATCCAGAGACTGGAATTCGGGGAACGACGATCGTAGGGCATCTTTTTTTCTCTCGGATTGCCCAGTCTCTGTATTTGTCTTTTACTAACTCCTTCCCTTGCACTCTCCCATCTTTCCACTTGCTGCTGTTGTGTTTTTTATTTCCCGCCTTTCTTCACGCCGGTAATGTCTGCTTGCGTATAGGAGGCTGGGCTGTAGAGGTGGGTAAGGAGCCACTCTACCAAGGAAACGGGCTTTAAACATCCATGATTGATCCTCGGAGGCAGGGCAAGCAAAAGATGCCCTCCACCCAAGAGAGTGACTAGAGAATCCAACAACCTTTTTGGTAAAAGACGTAGGGGCATGTAAACAAAAGTCGGCCCCTTCTTCTTGGTCCTTTGGGGTGGCTGAGATGGGGACAGTTCAGTCCACTTTGTGGGGATACATCATGTCCAGTACAACTGGGAAGAAGGTATTTCTGGGCGGGCTGAGGGCCTTGAACCAAGATCTTCTAAGTGATTGTGGTCCGGGGAGGCCTCCGCCCCTTCCCTCGGTCACCAGCACCCCAGCCGGCCAGCAGGGTGGCGGGTGGTGCTGCTCAGTGTTGCCCACGGTGCCCCCTGCTCACACGGCAGTTTCTTTTACCTCTGGTGTAGCATTTACCGCATTTTAATGCACGTTATGGCTGGTTCCTCGGCTCTGTCTCCACCACGAAGCTGTAAGGCCCTTGAGGGCAGTGCGAAGCCTCCCCGTCTTGTGTTCAGGCGTGGCCCGTCTCACGGGCGACTGGGAAACGGGATGAGCTGCTGGGCCTGTTGAAAGGGGCGGGGAGTTGTCAGGTAGTGTGAGAGGTAGAATGTTCTTTAAACAAGCATAAATGAGTGGGATCTGGAACACTCGTTTACGATTGGAGAGTTACCAAAAACATTTTTAGGTCATGCCGAAATCATAAGAGTACTAACCCGCAAGTGGTTCAGAAATCATCCTTGCCAGCGCCCTCATTTTTAAGACGATCAGATGATATACTGTGATGAAAACGAGCGGTTCTGGAGGGAATTCGGGAAGCCTCATGGAGTGTGTTGTTGCAACTATATATTTTGAAAGAAAATAAGAGTAGTTCTTAGGAAAACTGCCACAGGCGGGAGCTTTTTCTTTCCAAATGGCACGTTAGGGAAATAAATAAAAATTTAAAAGGTTATGGCACTTGCCCTACGTGGAACTTAACCAATTTCACTCTTGATACCATCACGCTAAAACAGATATTATTCCAGAAAAGTATATTTGAGTTTACAGCTTTTTCTCGACTTCTCTTTCTTGCCACAAAATGACTGTCCAAAACCAAATTGAAGGTATTTTTTTCTTCATGCAGAGTTCCAGATTCTCAGATATTCTCTTTCAGCAAACATTCTCTTACTTCCTGCTACCTTCTGCTCAGAGATAGCTCTTGCCAAAATCCATTTTTTTTTTTCTGAGTTTTCCTTAAAATACCTTTAAAGAGCAATTAGCATTTTATTTATCTAGGCGCAGTTGTTTTCTTCATGCCTCCCTTAAGTTTTCAGCAGAAGTAAAAGTTTCTACAATCATAATAGCATTTTACCTCATAAGAGAAAGAGCTAGAAGGGGGACCCCATCACCCACGTTCTCTGGTGAAGCAGCCCCAGCCCCGCGGGTCTGATTAGCCTCCGGGACACTTCCCTGGGAGGGCGTGTGACTCTCTCCTTCCCCCGGACGTCCAGCCAGTCCGACCGTCATGACAGTGACTCATTTTTCATCTTGATATGTATGTGGAAACTGTTAATGTAGATCAGAACATCACTTCCTTGCTCTCTTTTAAGGAACAGGAACATTGATTTACAGGAAATGTGCATTGAGATTGTAATTCTGAGCTAGAGATTCGAACATTGGAGATCTGTAAAATCACAACCCCACGAACTGGGCACGCATATTCTGTTATTTAATTTTTTGCAATTTATTTTTAACTTTAAGACAGGCATCATTTAGGTGTTTTTGTGGAGACGTATTCATTGCCATTAGGTCTTGATTTTTTTTCTATAAGCTGTAGTGAAAATACTGAAATGCATTAGATAATAATTTCATTTCTTACCTAGAATAAGAGCGGTTCACTATATTAACATCATCTTTCAAACCTACTTTTAGGTTTTTAAGGGTTTGACTTTTAGTTATTTTCCTCTAAGCAGCCCTGTTCATTTTCTGTATTTGTAAAATGCACAGGAGGTGGAGAATCTGTTTGTGATTCTGGCAGCGATATTACACATCGGCGACATTCGGTTCACTGCTCTGACGGAGGCCGACTCTGCCTTGGTGTCTGACCTCCAGCTCCTGGAACAAGGTCAGTGGAGCGGAGCTAACTTTAACCTCGGGGCTGTGCAGTTTTGCAGACCCGCCAGTAGATGGAGACACAGTACAGAAAAGCCAGGTGGAATTCGGTGACAGTCCTGGGGGGAACCCCCAAACTTCCAACTTTGCCCTTCTTTATAAATGATTATGGGCATGAATAAAAAGACGTACATTTATGTTCTCCTGCTGCCCACCACATTAACAGTTTGCTTTGTTGGCACATTCTTGCGTTTATTTATATTCTGAGTGTTCTCTGCCCCCACTCCCACCCCCGCCACCCAGTATATTTTGGGGGCATGTTATTAGCTAAACATTTTAAACCGAATATAATTACTTCCCTGCAAAGATCTTGCCAAAAATCTCTCTCCTTTGAAGTTGTTTGCTAGTCACTCCCAGTTTTTTCTTGAATACCTAAAAACTGCGGATTGTCAACAAACAGCATTATCTTCACCTCATATCAAAGTACTTTAGTCAGGAATTGGGAAAAAACCTTCAGGTCTGTTTGTGAGGGAAAGGAGAGAACAAACCTGTTGTGGTTTAATGCAGGAGCCCCATGGACTCATTAACGCGTTTATTATTTATAGGTTGTTTCTTTAGTTGACTTTGACAATTAAGTTAGTAGTTTTTGTTTTTTTATAATACACATATTTTCTAATGTGTCTATGTACAGCTTATAAATCATAACCATAAAATACAATTTTCTCTTTCAAAAAAATCCTAACTTGAGTTTTCCATGCTGCTTTCGTTTTAGTGGCCGGGATGTTACAGGTCTCGGCAGATGAACTGGTGTCTGCTCTAACAACTGATATCCACTATTTTAAAGGTAAGTTTTTCTATACTCTGGCGTTCACCTTTGTGCCATCGTGGTCTTCTTTGAAATACAAAAAGTAAATACGAGTGCACCTTTTCCTGCTTAGTGAAACTATTTCTATGAATCGAATGCCAAGTGAGAAAAAAAAAGCATTATGCACCCATTTGGTTACTCAGTCTGCATATACATTATAAACTCTTTAAGCTTTTGAGAGACAATTGTGATTAATTAAATGGCCACCTTTTCTAGCGGATCAGCCATTTTAGACAGAGTCACCAACCCAAGAGGATTTACTTCATGAAAACACCGATGCCTCTGTGTGTGTGGTGCCACGATGCCCCCTTCCGTGAAGAGCACCCCTCTCCTCTGCGTCATCAGTTATTGGGCTCTTAGGACAGGACTCGTGCCGAGCACTGTAAAAGTGGGGATGTTTTTAATTCTTACGGATCGCTAAGAAGTGGGCATTACTGTTTCCATAACTAAGATCCAACGAGGTTAAAGAACTTCGTAATCATTAGCAAAGGGCACGTTTGGGATTAGAATCTAAGGCTACCTGATGCCCAAGATAAGCCTCCCTGCTGTATGCGCCTCTGCTCCGTGGGCGAGGAGAGTGGCCTTCCTCCAGCTCTTCAGTTATTCACTATAAATCGCTGCCTTTCCAACCTTCCTCTGTATCATAGTTTTGAGGACTCACCATCCACCTGGTCTTTTTTCTCTGAACCCCATTATTCTCACCCCTGTTCCTATTGGGCCTACTTGCAGGTTTCTAGGTATGTGACTTCTAATTGCTGCCTCATATCTCGAGTTCCCTTCCATGTCTCTGCTGAACTCTGTGCATCTGACCACTATCCACTCAGTTGCCCAAAAGTCATTCTTGGCACCTCTTCCTCCTGTTTCTCCAGTGAGTAGATCAGACACACCCCAGCTCTACTCCATAAATGACTTTCATTCTTACTGCGTTCCCGTCGTTTCTCTCTCCGTTTCCTAAATTTATCATTCCTTCCCTAGATGATGGCAGGAACATTCCTTAACCTTTTACCTTCGCCTTACTGCATTTTACCGTCTTCATAGTGCTTTCAAGTATAAATTTTCTGAAATGCAGGTATGATTTTCACAGTGTTTGAAAGGTTTTCCAGCGCCTTTAGAGTTCAGCTTGGCTCTTTAGGATGGCGTAGGCGGTCCTTTATTATCTGGGCCTTACCAACTTTTATGCTTGGCTTTTAGTCATTTCCCCACTGGTATCCTCACATCCAACCACACCAAGTTTCTTGAAGTTATCCAAATGCTTTACTTTTTTTCTCATGACTTTATAAACAAAAACTGACCTCTCCATTAAGACCTATAATTTAATATATGCAGGTTCCTTCACTTGCCCTCAACCCCTTACACACCTGCCATGTTGCTCACTCATTAGAACCCGTAACCACGTTGAGTCTAGAGACCTCAATTCCGAAATGTCGAAAATGGCACACTGTTTTCAGGGCCACTGTTGGCGGTTCATCCCGTGGCCTTGAACTTACAGCCCCCTGACTCTCGATTGGCTGCTATTGTTTTGTTTGTTTGCTTATTTCAACCAGTCTCAGAAGCAGTTCTGCTCCCCTGTGAGTATTTCTATGATTAACTACTTCACCCTCATCTCACACGGTCATCATCCTCTTATGAACTCCCTGCTCAGCCTCAGTTGCAGTGGTTGGCCAGGGCGGCCGAGGCGACAATGCGTGGATAGGACGTTTCCATTCCCTCTCCACCCTCTAGGATCACTGCTGTCCTACACTCAATTCCAAATCACCCTCACTTTTTTCTTCTTCTTGGCTTCCTTCTCTAGTCTGTTCTCTTTTAAAAGTCTTGTTATTCAAGGTTGCAGTTACCATCTCTTTGAGAGTGACAGAGAAATTTCTACCTTAAGGCCCAATCTTGTTCCCACATTCCACATTTTGGTTGTTCCCACATTTTGGTGAGTTGGACCATGTCTTTGAAAATATTTAAAATATGACTAATTTTCCAGATGGCCAGGTTTCCGAATGCCTTAGGGATGATTCAGTATCCAAACCAGTGAGCTGTTAGCAGGAAACTTGTTAAGAGGGGCCCTTCAAAGAGTTGGTTCCCTAACAGAAAGGAAATTACAGTTTGCAAAAGGTCAAAAGCTGTGGTCAGCAATTGTAACAAATAAGACTGCAATGTATTTGACACTCATGTTAGGGAAACATTTTATGTAATAATTGACAGAGACCTCATTTATTAGAGGCATAGAATATTTTTTCAAGATCTTCTGGGGTATGGGGATGTGTGAGGGATGAATTGGAGATACATAATTTTGTTTGCTTTTAAGTGAGAGAAGTCTTTGTTCTAATGCCTCCCCTCCTTTCTGCTATTCCAGGAGACATGATCACACGACGGCACACTATAGAGATGGCTGAATTCTACAGGGATCTCCTGGCCAAGTCCTTGTACAGTCGTTTGTTTAGCTTTTTGGTGAACAGCATGAATTGTTGCCTCCACAGTCAAGATGAGCCCAGCAGGTAAGATTGTTGGCTGATGGTCACTAGAGTTAGCCTGTCGTAGATAACTTAAAAAGTCTTACCTCTTAAAGATGCCTTACAATCCAGAGTGACCTATAAATTAAACTATTATTAAAACATTTCATTTTAACAAGGTGATTTTACTTGAAGGATTTTATTGACTATTTTTTTAAAGATCTAAGCGCCCTCCCTGACAGCACATTGATGAATTAATCAACTCATGTCTCACGCAGAGAGATACGCAGGCATTCTATCTGGACTGAAGGCACAGACAGGGCCTTTGGTGCACCAAGAAGTGGAAAATGTATAAATCTAAGATAAAAATAGTTCAAGAATATCTAAGCCCTTAAGTTTGTTGAAGAACCCATGTCTGTCTCAGAACTGATTTGCTGATGCATTTCAGATTGGCAGTTTTCCTGTTTGCGTCACCTGATTGTGGATTACTTGACGAGGGGTCTCTGTGGTAATCGTTTCACTCATAGCCTTAATCATCTTTAAGCAGAAGCTTCTCAGGGCTATTTGATCATCTAAAAATTATAGATCTCCATGGCATCTTGTCAATGGAAAACTTTGTTAACATTCTTGTCACTAATAATGACCTTGAGCAGGTTACCAAAAGCAAAATTGCATCCAGAAGACTTCACACAGTCTTGTCTTCGACTGAAAGCTTTTGAGAATTTCTTGTCCATATAGACTCCTTCACCAAATTCTTAAAAATTGCTACCTTTAGAGTTTTCTCGGAAAACATTGTAACTAACATGTACTAATGGGAAAGTTTCTAAAGAAATATAGACAGCTCAGAAGATTTCAAGGACAAAGGGATGCTAAAATTCTCATTATAATGGACACATATAAAATCCCACTGTGCGATGATCGGCATATTCAATATACAGTCTGTGATTTTAGGGTAGGTATAGTATTATTTCCATTTTAGCAGGTGTATCTTAGTATTTGGTATAGTGAGTATTTTTGATTTTGTTATTATTGCTTATTATCAGATAATTTGTGATTTTCCTTTAAATATCAAGATTATTCACATAATATTATTAATACGCTAAGTACCAAATGAATCTTGCATAACATTATTGGCAACTCTGCTGAAGTTGACATTGAAAAAATTGATATATAAATCCAGCTGTACATAGAAACTTTTAGAAAATTTCCATTTGACATTTAAATCTTAGAGTCTTAAATTTATATAATTGGAAACACATGTAGTTGAGATTTTTTACTGTACACACACGCACGCACACACACAGAGAAAAAATACAAACATAAACCTTGGAAAACACATTATTCCCCTTTTAGTGAGAATATCATCATTGTGTCAATATATACATTTATGATGTTAGTTTTATCTTTTAAAATTCTTTACCAAGCAAATGAATGAGGGACTGGGATGAGGGGAAATTAGAAATGAATTAATGTATTACAAGCTTAACTTCTAAGATACAGTATTATCTTTTGAGTCATAACTCCCATTTTTCCCCCTATTTCTCCCATGGGTCATCCAAACCTAAATTTAAATCCTGAAATAATGCAAAGAAAGGTTATGTTTGCAGTATTTCTAACTCATTGAAATTCACGGAAAGTTTGAGATTTTGCAGATTTACAGACCCACTTCCAAAGTCACAGAAAGGTCTCAAAATTTGGATAAACTTAGAATAGGCTTTTATAATTTATGAATCTCCAATTTTGTGGAAATTTTATAATGTCAAAAAAGATTATATAACATAAGTAAATATAGATCCCTCTGGTTAAAGTTGGCGAGCACCCTTGATGTTGAAGGGAAGTATTTTTTAAACTGTCTATTTTTGTAAATTTTGCAAAGGAAAATAAATAGAAATAAGATATAAAAGGAATAAAGTAATAAAGGGAAAACAGTGAAGTTGAAGCAGATGAAATGTTTGGTCTTGGAATGCTGGATTCATTTCCTGGATTACAGCAAAATAGGTACAACATTAATAATATTATATATTTTAAAAGAGTCTACTTTCCCTACCTAGATTTCAGTTAGGGTTGCTTCTAAATGAAAATCCTGGGGTATAATGCAGAAGCTGACACTAGTTAATTAAGATGAGCAGAAATGTTCACCATGTTTGCCTGGCCAAAACTGAGTCAGTAAGATTAATGTGAGGACATGCACCAGCGCGCCCATGCCACGGGCTTGGCTTCGGTGCAGGCTGCCTGCACTAAGCGCTGCAGGCTGGAGACCAGCTGGGCTGGGCAGCTTTTATTCAAGGCCACACTTAGTGGTCAGGGCATTTCAGAATCGAAGCACACTGAAACTTTGTTTATTAAACTTACTTGAAAATGATTACCTAAGCAGGTAAAAGGGAGTAATGATAAATAATAGAAACAATAACAATAGTACAATGCTTTCTACTTGTTTAAAATTTTATTTAATAATTAAAATATGATTTTAAATAATATCGAATAATTTCTAAAGAAAACGAATGAAGTGGTTAAGTTTAATCTGACTTTTCTGGTGTTCTTTGGCCTCCGCTCCTTTGTGAATTGTCAGTGACATGCAATGACCGTGTAGGCATAAAATGTCACGTGTTCAAACCACATGGAGCTCCACATAGATTCCTACATCTTCATATGTAGAAAGTTGGCGACCACTAAGGACACTAGCGACACTGACCTCTTTCATTCTTCACTGGCCAGTTTTTGCTCAGTGAGTATGAAGATGTGTGTGTTGTCCAGTCCCCGCCCAGGGATATGACCCTTCTCCATCACAGTCCCACCACTGCGGTGGTCGCCTCATTCTCAGGAATCTTGAAGATGACAGCCAGGGTGTCTTTTCTTCATTCGGTTCGCTTACTTGATCAGGAAATAGCGTCCTGCAGCTTTACGATTCCCCTGCTTCCCAAGTGAGCACATCACCTGTCTGTCCTGACACAGCAGATGTAATGTAAAAACTGTGGGATTGTCAACTCCTTTAGTTCTGTCAAAGCCTATATAGCTCTAAGGTTCCTCCCAGGGTCTAACCTCAGTGTCTTAGAATAATAGCACTTAAAAGCCAACTTTGTGGCATAGAGAAGATTCTGAATAATTGTCCTTAATACTTCTATTTTTCCATGGTTTATTTTGCTTCATTAGGACGAAAATTCTTTTTCATTTGGTAATTGTAGTTGCTTGTTTTTACTATAACAGTCAAAATGGAAAGGCTTGATCTTAAGTATTTGTTGCTCTTTTTCTTCATAAAATTACAAACCTTTTGAAAAAAAGGAAGGGAAACGCATTAAATTTACCCTTGGTCTGAAAAGGCAGCATTGTGAACAATATTGTGTTGGCCACAAGAAGAATGTTTTATTGTTGTTTGAATGTTTTATTCTACATTATAAGTAGCATCGTTTGCAATTTTTCAAACATGTAGTTTTATTATTATTTATTTTGATATGCCAGCTATACTAAACTAGTGTTATTTGCGCTGTAATGAAAAAAAAAAAAAATACATGTTCTCTTTATGCCTCACCTTCTTTTAAAATAAACTCAATGAGGTTGATATTTTTCTGACCCTGGGGGAAAACATAGGTAGGTCCCAAAGCTTTTCTGCTCACTTTTAAATAAATCGTACTTCTATGAATCCTTTAAGTCCTGAAAGATGCAGTATTTGAACAGAAGTTAATAGCATCGAAAGGTGAGCGTTCGCCTCTCTCTCGCACAGGTGAGGCCGGTGGGGCCGCTGACGGCCTTCCAGGCAGGGAGTGAGGGAGGATCCTGCACCCCGGCTTGCAGGCTGTGGCTTCAGCTCTCCCAGGAAGTGGGGGCAGGGACAAGGAAGTGAGGGGTGTCTCGGCTTCCAGATGTCTTGAGGCTTTTCTAGTGAGAAGGGTCATTATCCCCGGCCCCTTCCTTGACTTCCTCGTAGATTCCCACTGCTGGACCCCTCCTCCCACAGCCCTCAGAAAGCGAGAAGCGCTCTCATCCTACATGGCCTGCTCCCACTGCCGCCCAGGCTTTGGGACAGTCCCTTAGACGTAAGTGCACACGGTGCAGGAGCGGAGTCCCCACACCTTCCCGGTGTGCCTTTGGGCGGGATTTCTCTGGATTGAGAGGGAGTTGGGAATGGACAGTGCCTTGGGGAGTTGTGGCTATCTCACTGACTCACTTTTTAGAATGGCTAAATGAAAGACATGGGGTAAACAGCATTTAGTTTTTATAAAGTATATCATTGCTGTGATTCTGAAATGAGGTTAATGGTTGGAGTCTTACTAAAGTGTAATGAATAATACCTTAAATTTTTAAAAAAGTGATAAATAATTTTTGCGAGTTCTAAAATTGGACCTGTTTCATAATACAACACACATCCCCAGCATTGAATTGCCAATGTTAACTTAAAAATTATTTTTCCCTAAATTGACATCTTCATCAGAGTTTTGGCGCCAACTTCACTAGAGCCTTGGGCAGGCAGAGGGGTTGTAAAAACTGCTAGAGTTCTTTAAGCGTCTTCAGACACCAAAACCTACAGTTTAATCAACCTGTTTTTTTGCCACGAGTTCTTAATACAATGATTTATATTTATGGTGACATCTGAGAAAAATAACCTGTGGAACATTTTCCTTTTTACCATTAGAAACACCCTAAGAATAAATAGATTGAAAGTTATAAAGTTTAAGAGATAACCCAGTAGAGAGGGAATGAAGATTACTTACTTTTTAAATTTATTCCTGTATGTATCCATTCATTTGTTTATGTCTGCATGTTCTGAAATCCACATTTTTGGACAGCACAATTTGGCATGCAAATGTAATACAGTAAATAAATTGAGTTTCAAGCATACATATCAAGATTGTTTTGGTTTGTCACAGAGCTCTCAGTTTCTTAAATATGCTTATAGTATATTACATTCTTATAATATTTTAATTGAGCTAAACATAAACATTTAAAAACGTTATGATTAGTTACACTCAGCTTTGATGAGCTATAGAGACTTTGGGAGAGTTCTCTAAATACCCTCAGATACCAAAATCTACATTTTATTGCAACTCATT